TCTCTCTTAAGGAGTCCTCTCCTGCCACTCCATAGAGCCAATCCAAGGACAAAATTTTAATATACTGGTTTGCAGCCTCCCATAAAATACAATCCTGCTGACTGCATTTTTTTGTTCCATGTAGAGTACAAAGATACCTTTGTTCCTCAATGGGAAAATCATTTCAGGCTCTAGAAGGCATAAAATTGGCAACACTACCTAACTGTGGAGCTCACACTGAGAAAAGCAGAGCTAAAACACCAGAATATATTTAACTTCTTTCTGGCCCTCCTTCCTGTGTGGCTGGTTTACCCTAAGAGGCAGATGGCCTTGTGGAGGGTGGTGTTCTTGTAGATGGGGGTGCAGGAGCCGCCAGGTAAGCGATGGACAAGACCCTACGTTTCTGTTCCATTTCTTCATTTTACTATAAAAATGGATAGCATAAAAAATTCTTTAACATGTCTTAATTTTGCCATTAAGGATGCAGTGTTCGCAATACCATGCTTAGAATGCAGTTAAAATTACGAAAGTGAGAAAAAACAGTCACCACCTCCCTCCTCGTACACACAGAAATACTACCAGTGACCGTGTCAACAGTTCGCACAGACAGATAGCTAGAGAGTACCACCTCAGAGGGATGGCTGCAACCCGTGCATTCGTGATGAAGGAACCACAGCAGGGTTGACAGCAGGGCTGACGAGCAAAGGAGATAAAGGAAGGAAGGAAGATGACGACTTCCTGGAACATAAGTGTCCTTAAGGGGGCAGCCTGGATCTTGGGGCGCCAGCTGACTGAGCAGAAAAGCAATGGCTTCGCACTGCCCTGAAGACGTGCCCATAAGGGATTACTCTAGTTTTATGAGAAGGAATTAGCAACCCCAAAGTAAGCCAATACTTCAAGGTGACAAGAGGTGGGGTTACTAGGGGAGACAGTACTGTTCCCATTTCATCCTGGATCCTGCCCCACCAGTTCCTGGCCCTCTGTTCACAGCACCTGGCAGTACTTGGCATTCACTATAGATGCTGACTTCAAGAGGCGCTTAAGTTGTAATTTGGTGATATTTCCTCGTCAAGGACCATGTGCCATCCCTCTGCTGAGCACTTCATTTCATCCTCAGAACACTCCTACAAGAAGTATCCTAGTGGGGCCAGCAGGTGGCGTGGTGATTAAGGAACTGGACTTCCACATATCTGATGGTGGTTCAAATCCTGGACCTTGTGGCTTGCTTTCTCATTTTTCATCTTTCTCTCTCTCTCTCTCTGTGTCTTTCTCTGGTGAGCACACATGCCCTATAACAAATTTTAAAATAATAAATAAAATAAAATAAATAATTATTTATTTAAGAAAAAGAAATGCGGGAACCAGCAGGTGGCATAGTGGTTAAGGCGCTGGACTCCCACATAGTCGACCGTGGTCAGGTCCCCAACCCTGTGGTTTAAACTCATGCCAGGCACATGAAAAAGAAATGCGGGAACCAGCAGGTGGCATAGTGGTTAAGGCGCTGGACTCCCACATAGTCGACCGTGGTCAGGTCCCCAACCCTGTGGTTTAAACTCATGCCAGGCACATGTGCGTGTTTGGCCAAATCCCAAGAGGAGAATGGAGGAGAAAGGACTGTGGCCTGGCCATTGCCCTAGGGGGTGATTTCTCACTTTCTCTCTCTCTGTTTCTCTGTCTCTCCAGTGAGTACACATAACCTACTGCAAAAATCTCTCAAAAAAAAGAAAAAGAAAAAGAAAGGAATATGCTAGCAACAGCACTATTTTATAAACATTAAAACTTATTGGGAACCAGCAGTTAGCGTAATGGCTATGTCGCTGGACTCCCACGTAGTCGACCGCGGTTCGTGTCCCGGACCCGGTGGCTTAAAACTCACGCTGGGCGCATGTGCGTGCGTGCCCAAGATCCCGAGAGGAGAATGGAGGAGAAGGGATTGCGGTGTGACCATCCCCCCTGGGGGGTGATTTCTCGCTTTCTGTCTCTATGTCTCTCTCTGTCTGTCTGGCGAGCACACGCGCCCTACAGTGAAAATCTCTCAAAAAAAAAAAAAACCTTATTGAATATTAGTCGATACCCAAGATTACACTGTCAGTCAGTGTGAGAGAACAGGAATTTGAACCCAGGTCTTCCTGACTAAAGCCCCCACCCAGTCTCTAAGACGTGCACTATTTTAAAGGTAAGAAAATGCAGAATAGGATTT